CGTGTGTAGTAGACAACAGGAAAGTTGTCCCCAGGAAATTGTACCAGTCAAGCCATTTGTGAGAGACTGGGTTGAAAAACATAGCGGAAATACGGACAATGTGACTTCTTCCTCTCTGAAAGAAGAAGCTAATACTAGTACCAGCAATGGAACTGGAAGTGACTATGATAATGTAAAAAGAACCAAATCTCCTAAATCACAAAGATCGGGTCATTCGTCACCACGGACCCAGTCGCCAAGTCGTATTCCATTGCCTTCCTCATCATCATCAAGTAGATCATCAAAATTAGAGAAAGCTATCTTGCCGCCTCCTGCCAATCCATCTAGGAGAACAGCAGACTGGATACGGTCACTGAGCACAGACAAGGAGCCCGAGTCTACAGTGACAGCTGACAAGGAATCTTATGACAATGTTCCCAATGAGTCTGAGGCTGCTGAGACTTTTGAAATGGCGGCCCAGACTTCGGACAAAGCTTCTATTGATGAGGAATGTTTTATGGCACCGTGCACAATGGAGGATAAACAACTCCAAACGAGTCCTATTCCTTCAGATCAGTTATCTAATCACCAAAGTGAGACAGATTCTGAGGCGGCCAGTAACAATCAAGGGAACATGAGCAACCGGGAATCTATTTACGAACTTGAAGTAGAGGAACAGTTGGAAATGATGAGGCCAGGAGAAGTGTGGCGTATTGCTTTTGACACTTCAGACTATGACACTCTGAGTAATAAGTCCACACTGTTGGATGGTCACGAGGAACAAGTGAATGTAGACATTGAACACATACAGCCAGTGGAACATCAAGAACCAGTAGAACTTGTTGACCAAGTAAAAGAAGATGTTACCCCAATCATTGAAGTAGAAATCATTGATTTATTTGAAAACCAACAGCTACAGCCACAGACTGAAAAAGAGGTTGAAGAATCCAAAAATGAGAATGACACTGACAAAATATATGCTGAAAATGGCCATAGTAATAGGATAGAATCACAGGTTGTCCATAATGCTGACCAGAGTCCCCCATCTTCAGAAGATTCCGACAAATCTGGCAAGAGCCATATCCGCCCTGCTTATTTCCGACGTCCAGATGGTGCCTCTAATCCTAATTTGCATAAAGACCCTACAGCAGATGAGAAATCTCAGCATGAGGTGGTGGCTGCATCTGCTTCCACCGAGATCACCACACAAAAGTGCAATATAGTCACAGAGAGAATGGTCCCAGGGCAGTCTGCAGATGACAAAATCAAACCAGCCAGAGGCATCCCCAAACTGCAGAGTCGACTCCCTGTGAATAAAGCCTCCTCTTCCAGTTATGCCAAAAATAAACCTCCATTGCCAAATAAACCTTCGACAAATGCCACCAAATCGCCTAAACCACCCCCTCCAGCCAAACCCATACGGTCCAGTAGTTTGCCTCGTGGAACCATGTCACAGCCATCAACCCCAGCAAAGAGCGTTGCCCCTAAGGCTGGGGGTGGCGGTAGTGGACAGCAGGGTGGACGGTCAGTCAGTGTCCCTGCCAGTCCTGCTGCCACACCCAGTCCCAGCAGGAGCAGCAAGACCAGCAAACTGCCACAGAAACCCAGCTCCACCAGTAGCTCCACCAACAGCAGTCCCTCCAGATCAAGTGCCAGCCCTTCACGCTCACGAAGCAAATCGCCCACCTCCAAACTTCCAACTAGTAAATCGAGGCTTCCACAGTCTTCTAGCAAAGCCAGCATTCAGAGTAGTAAAGACTCTAAGATATCCCCCAAAGTAGCAAAAGCCAGTCCCAAGAAGGAGAAAGAGAGTAAATTGCCTGTCACCAAAGCAAGCAACAATAGGGTCACTGAGCTTGTGAAAACTCGAGAAGGTGATTCTGACAGTGGAAATGACAGTGGCATTGGTGACAAAAAGCTGTTGTCCCCTTACTCCACCCTGACCAAAGCAAGGACATCCAGCCACTCCAGCAGTGGACATGGGAGTGACAACAGTAGCAGCATTAGTGGAGTCGTCACCAAGAAGGAGCGTCTCCATGGTGGCACGAGCAGCGGCTACGAGAGCATGATAAGAGACAGCAGCGAGATCACATGCACATCATCTTCAACACACGATTCATCCAACGAAAGCTCAGCCAGTGGTTGGATAAGGGGCAACAGGATTTTCAAGAAGAGGACTGCATGTAAGTGCTACAGGATATGTTAAAGTTGATAAGTAAATATGACACGCTGTATGTATATTCAGTTAACCTCTTCTCATAAAGTGATATAACATATTAGATCTTTTATTATGTTATGTGGATAATGGTAAAGGGGTTCTTTAAAAATAAGGATTAAATCCGTTTTTGAAATCATTTTTGAGTAACACAGTCTTCCGGGGTTCTTTTTTTTCTCTCTTTATTTTTTTCCTGATATTATTCCATGAGGTTACTTGTAACTCTATTCTATTCAATAGCACGTAGAAGCAAGTCCGCTCCAGCTCGCTCAGACAATTCCCCCAGCAGTTGTCCACAGAGCCCCAGCAGCCAACGTTGTGCCGCATCACCAAAAGCCTGGGTAGACACCCGGCAAGCAGAGGGCACACGTGATGAACCATTTGAGCTGAAAATGTACGATGTTGATGATGTTGAGAGGATGCAGAGAGCTCGATCACGGGAAACATCAGAGGTAAAGAACATACTGTTCTAGGTTGTGCATATTGTATTGAAAAGAGTTATGAGAAATACACATCTGCAGCATGATAATGAGCCCCCCAACATTCTTCTCATTTGCACTCAGTTATTCACCAAATCCATTTGCTACAGACCTAGGCTACAGCCCAGCAGCAGCATAACACTTGGATTGCATGTACTTTCAATATTGTATTGTGACTGCATTTCTCAATTGGCTCAGTAAAGTGGTTTATATGACATTTGATTGAAAAATCAGCATTGCTGATGTAGTGTAACTTTCTTAACAGCATGGTCATTTAGTATCTCCCTAGCTGTCAGACCACTTGGCAGTTTGGATAGGCAATGAGTAGCAACCTTACATAGGTACCAGCTTGTCAACATGCTGTTGACTTCTTTCTTTCTAGCAACGAGAATTAGATGGCAGGCGGAAGAAAATACAGGGTCTCATGGATCGCCAGTCAGAGCTCAAACAAGAGCTGGCGAACACAAAAGATAAACTTATGGTAGATAAGAGTGCTTGGAGTTACGATTGTAAGTCTACCACATGCTGTCGTGTGCAATAAGTCTAGGTGAGCCAACTCCACATCATTGTGGCTTTTTATGTGGTGGTGGGATACACAGGTCTAGATGTTGTAGTTAGAATGGACTGAGATTTACATATACTTTGCACACATTAAGGAGCTGATTATTTTGAGTTGAACTTTATTTTTGAAAGGTTTTATTTTCATCTCTGTATTGTTAGTGCTGTTGGTATGTGTGTGTGTGTATGCATGTTTAGATATTAACACAATGCTTCACTTCCCTGTTGCACTCATTTCTGACTTCTTAATGCACACTCCTTTCTGTTTGAAATCACTTAGCATTGGTGTGAACACTTTGGTTTGAAATTTTAGCTTGTGTTTGAAGCATGATTGTAAATTGTTATTTCAGTTGTCCAAAATTGAGTGAAATTATTTAGTTTTATGCTTTGCTGTTTTGGTCAGTTTTGTAAAGTGGTTTTACTTTAATCATCAGTCCATTCTCACTGCAATGTGGAAACTTTGGTAATTTTGGTAAAAGTTCAAACTTTTGAGTTCACTGTAGCCTTCTCAGTTTAAGCTTTTACCACATGTTGATTTACTAGGTGTTCTACTACTATATACCAATCTGTCTAGGTAGATACCTATACTTGTTGCACTTTATATATACATATAAATACATACTCTTTGATTGCACAGTACTCTTTATTATATATCAATATATATATATGTAGAAACTAAGGGATTTTCCTTAAGCTAGATAGCTCCCACTTAAAACAGCTAATAGATTAAACGAAGTTCTTATTTACCTTAATTCTTGCATGAGTAGTTCATTCTGAAGACCTTTTTTGCATGTAATTAAAATATATATTACTTTGATTATGCCAGCAATATATAATTAGTTATATCTAATGTTATTGAATTTATCTAGGCCACTTGTACAAATGATAATGATGTTATACTTGAATTTTCCAATACTATTTTGATGTAATGTCTTTAGATCTGATAAAATCTCTTTTGGATTTTTAAACTTGCTCTGTAAAAATGTGGGAAACAATTATGTTCAATGAAGAATGCCAAAAAAAAAAAAAGAAATGAATAGCGTAAAATTGAGACAAATATTCAAATCCTTTCTATCTATTTAATTTTAGTGTTCCTGGCCAGTGAAATGCAGAGGGACGATCCGCACTATCTGGAAGCACTGGAAAAAGAGACGTCAATCCTTGAAAAAAGAGTAGTAGCCTGCAAGTCGCACATCATGATGGTGACCTGCTTTGACATCCGGGGATGACTCCAATGAGATTGAAAATTACTATCAAATTTTGGAAATGACTTATCAAATTTTTTTTTTCTTTCTTGAGGACAGGTTGAAAATTTTGTTGCAGAACGAAAAATTTTTGCCTTTGTTGCATATAAATCCAATTTGAAATTGTATGTTATGAAACCAAGATACTAAAAGTTAGAGTGATTTATACTCAGTTATATTATGTGAAATTATTTTTTAAGAGCTGTCCCTTATGTAACTTTTTTTTCCAATTATTTGTTATAAGCTGAGAGTAAGATAGGTGATCTTGTTGATATTTGATTACAGTTCCTGAGATCATTTTGTAACTGTACAGCAACCTTTTTTGTTTACATATGTTAAAGAAATTTTAAACTGAAAATGCTTAAAATTGAGATTTTTAAGCTGTTTTACATGCATTTCAGGTGTACTTCTTGATATGTTTGTGGGCTGTGAAAGAAGCCCTTTTTGTGTTATATTTTTGTACCAACAAGATGTTCAGTGCATCCAGATTTTAGGATGTTTAATTTTGTGCTTAAATTAGTAACTGTAATTTGGGAAAGAGGAGTTAAATTATTTGATAGAAAAAAGGATATCCCCTAAAAAAACTTTTTTTTTTTTAAGTTTTGTTTTTCTTATTATTTCAGTGGTAAATACTTTGCTAACCAGAGAGCTGGTGAAAACAAAAATAAATAAAAAAATATATACTGTTATGATTTACATCATATCATTAAAGTGACAGAGAAACCTGTACATATTGTGTAATTACAAACTGATAATTTATATAAGTATATATATATATATATATGTTAAGTGGGTGTATCATCCTTGGTGCCGTGTTGTTAACAGAAGGCCACGTGTTGAAAACGGTAGTTGTCCTGTAGAGCCCGACTTTTTTGTACAAAGAGAAGTTGAAACTGCAACGTGCAAGTTTGATATTGTAATGCTAAGTTTTGTAATACCTCTTTAAAATATTGGTGCTTTAATGGAAAAAAGCCAGATACATCAGTAAAAATGGAGGCTCCTATCAAGGCCTGCAAAGACTGATGCTGTTTTACACACATCCTTTACCTTTCGTCAGTGCTGGTGCACTTCATTGACTTCCACATTGTGAAAAATAGTCTTCTTTTTTTAGCCTGGATCCAGTTTAATTAAGGATCTTAAAGTAAGTTATTTAGCCGACTTAGCAGTCAGATGTAGTAACTTTTTGATAAAAGTTGTTCTTGTGTTGGCTTTGAAGTAGCCGTGTATTACTAACTGTTCAGCAGATGAGCTGAAACTTGACTGTATTTATGTTCACCTGTATACTGTCATATGATGATTATGTGTATATTGTTCTTGATTATGATCATACATGCATATTTACATGAAAAATAAACAATTGATGGGATATCAGTTCAAAGAAAATAAGTTTGTTTTGTGATTTTTAATAGCTTACTTTAGAGATGCTCATATTTTATGCCTCCTGTTGTTATTTCAAATAGGATTTTTTAAGAGTAAATATATTCATTTTACCTGTTTATGTATGAGAGGATCATCTGTATTTGGGCATTTCTCAAATGTATAAGTGCTAGCTTTTAAGGGGGGGGTATTTTACATTCTATTCTTAAGTTACAATGAAGTAAATTCTTGGTGGGATGTGCGGTGATCAGGCATTGGGGGTGAACGGAGGTGAAATGGTACATAGACTGACAGACCAGACATTACTTACTGCATTTTTGTGTCAGCATACCATGCACTGCCACTTAGATGAATAATAAAGCTGCCAAATATATGCCAGAGACTAATATATCAGACAAAGACTCGGGAGGAGGTCAATCTTTTGCTAAAACAAGTGTTAAGATTCTTATAAGTCTTTTTTTTTAACAAAGAAGAAAAAGACTCTGAGCCTCAAAGAAAATTGTAAAATAAAACATCTTTTAGTGGAAAAAAAGCGGTCAGTCTGGAATAAAAAATGTCCCCTTCCTTCTTTCTTGATAATATTCTTAATCCCCAAGTGACATGAAGAGAAGAGCATTTGCAGGATGTACATTCTGCATTACTGGGAACACCTAGGTGATAAATATAAAATTTTGAGTCTGTAACATAAGCATTGTCATAATGGAAACGAGGATAACTACAGTGGGAAATCTTCACCATTTTACAGGCTGTATTGTGCTAGTTGTGCTTGGTTGAGCTATTCACGGGTTGAAGGGAAATCTTATCAGTTTTTTAATCAATGATTTGACGGCTTTAAACATCTTTTTTCCTTGAAACTGATGCCTGATAATGGTATAACTAAACAGCATTTCACCAATAAATAACATAAATAACATTTATTGGCCTTGCAGAAACCATTATGCAAACCAGTAGACTTAAATAAGATTTAATGAAACAACGCGCCGAACATTTTCTTTCAAAATTTTCAAAGCAAGAGAAACTTGATATAATACAAATAAATGCTAATTCTTTAAATTATTTTGCTCAGTTTTTTTTTTTTGCTGTGTTTTATTTGTGCATAAGAAATTTAAAATATTAATTCTGTAGAGCTTACTTACGGAAAACTGCCTAGGGATGGATGTAACATAGGCCTACAAGGCAATTCAATAAACGTGTGAAACTTTACGTTTTCCTTTAAAAATGCCCATCTATGTTTCAAGAAGTAGAAAGATAAAAAGAAATATCAATAACCTAACGGTTAAGCTGTACCGTAAGATTGAATGAAAATGTGTTTTCCATCACAATCCCGCCCTAGTTCGTTCATTCGACCTATGAAAGCTGATTTATATGCCCAGTCATTCAATATCAAGTGGGTTGAATTTGAAAATGCGTTTTTATTTTTGTTGTTTTTGTGTATGATATGAGGATTTTATCAACCCCTTATCCTCTTTTCGAGATGGAGATGTGCCTTCTCATAAACCAGGCGATAATTCAAACCGAAGCGTCCGCACGGAAAGGTGACCTCTTCATCATTATGTAAATCAGGTGAGCGTTTTGGTGAGAGGTGCTCAGATAGGACCGAGGTCAGTAGAAGATGGAGAAGAAGGATGTCCCATGCCATATTATATGCTACTACAACATGTAGGCCGAAAAGATGGCCCTGAAACCGGCAGCAGTATTTCGTAAGTTCCGTACAGATGTATTGTAGCATTTTTTAGTTTTGCATTGACGATGTTTTCCAGAAAAGGTGCACTCTAGGCATAATGACATCTAACTGACGTGAAGGATAATTTCTTTTAGCTTTCCCTCAGTGCCTTTGGGTACCCGTTTGTTTCTGATATCATTAGCTTTCCATGAGGGTTAAATATGAATATATATTTGTGTAATTTTAAAGCTGAATTGCGATTTGTTAATTGTAACGCAAAGGATACTGACACAAATTACATTCTGCTCCAAAACGCATAACAAATTTAAAGTCGAAAAAGATTAGCTTCTTTTTTATGAAACTTCTCATAGAAATTAAATCCATACTAAGCGTCCGCCCTGCATGATGCTGGTTTGCTTCTTTTGGAAATTGTATGTTACTTTGTCGTAGTACAGTGCTCTATTTGATCATGATGTTACATGTATGAGGATAGTTTATGTTTTTTGGGGTCGGGGTTGATACCCGTCCCTTTTCGAACCCGGGACATTAGGTTTGAAGTTATCATTTAACAGAAATAATGTCTGTATAAAAAATGATAAAGTTATTGTTTTAATTATTTCATTTATTAATTTCCAAGCAGAGAAATATTTTATATTTGTCACTGAAAATGCGCGTGGTCAAATTGAATCTTGACACCTCGCTGTGAACTTGAAGATGCAATCTTATTCATTTTAAATGATGTTGACTTCTGGGAAGGAAAGACATTGCAGCCGAATTACGTAAAATGCATATAGGAAATTAATTACATTTATCGTTTGTTCAGTCGAAAAAGAGTAAGAGACGTGAATCTATTAAAGACACTGTTAATAAAACGTATAACGCCTTAGAAATCCCAACATTATGTAACGGGCAAAATGTGCCCACGTTACTTCAGAATTGTCCACATGTACTATAACGATATTTTATTAATATGGCACTATGGCTGCGAATAAACTTCCTCTGGTTCTCTGGTTAATTCTGGTGTCAACTAGTAGGCTAAGGTGTAAACTGTGCATATTTTTTTCAGGACCTGACACTGGTGTCGTGCAGCGTGGGGTCTGTGGCGAAGGGGGCTACTGACTGTGAGCGGTGCAGTGGTTTGTTTACAAACAAGAGGGGTCAACGTGATCAAGTACTGACAGTAAGAAAAGAAGCTTTTCAACAGTAAATCTTTGTGATATTGGGAGTAATGTCAGTGTGTCTGCTGCCCATGTGGATAGGAAATATTTGCTTCTTGCAGTTTTGCAGGCATTTCTTAGTGTGGCCGTCAATGGGAAATTATTTGGTGGTTTCTGCCCTGAATTCCAAGAGCGTGATGCATAGCGATAACATTCAGTAGTATGCGTAATTACGAAATTGAAAACGGGTTGTCCTTTTATATGGTTTTTAAACAAGACATTTCTAAATATCTTCTGCATATTTTGATGAAAATTTCAAGACGCACAGATATTCAGATGGGAAAGAAATTATTACAATTTCGACTGAATCTGGATTTCCTCGTATTTATACTATTATTATTATTATTATTATTATTATTATTATTATTATTATTATTATTATTATTATTATTTACCATTAACTTGATGGAGGTCTGCATTCTAAGAGTATTCTCTAAGTATATTATTCATTCATTTTTGATCATGTTGAACATAAGACAGCCTCAACTTATTTCTTGCTTTCCTATATTTTGGATAGGCCAATGCATGCTTAAATCAATCTCTCCTGTGTGATATATCATTCATTAGAAACAATTTTAGAGCCTGTTAGTTTAACTCAAAAATTGCTAAAAATAATTTTCTCATTTCAGAAACCCACCGAGGTACAGCTCAACATGCGCCTACTAGCAGCCTTACCTTTGGTTCACATTCAGGAACTCTACGCCTATTCAGGCATTTATTTTATGAGAATTGAATAAATATATTTGTCTGTGATTTTTTCATTTATTTTGATATGAAAAATTATGATAAAGGAGTATGAAGATAAAAATACATATAATAACTGTTTCAGCAGTTCAAATTCAGTATACCTAATATAATCCGTAAATATTGCCCTTGGTATTGCTTTGACGGTTTGCTTTGGTACATGAAAATATTTGAAAGTGAAATGGCTTTGCGAACGTACCTTGTATTAAAAAACGATAGTATTTGAGTACTTAAAATCTAAAGTCTGCTGCAAGGCTGTATGTGAACCAAAAGATTTTCTATAAACACACATTCATATAGTGTAATTACAAACCAGCTTTTTGAAGTTTAATCTTGTTTCTAAATTTTGTTCCATGTCATTATATTTTCAATGTACTTAAGAACAAATTTGTCCATCATCCAGATTATCATTTCCTCACTTTTCATAATGTAATTCATAGCTTTTTAAAGGACTTTTTTTTGCTACAGCCAATTTGACTATCTAAACACTTGTATATATAATTGAATTACAAATCTGAATAAAATGATCAAGTGAAAAGATTCTGCTGCTTTTTTAGTAAATGACATTGGCTGTTCCAGGAATTGGGCCCTTTTATTGTGATGATATAGAACAGATCACATGCCTTCAAGTCCTATTCTTTAAAAAATTGTTTATTTGTATACATTTTACTTGGTTTGTTCAAAATAATATTCAAATTATTTCTGATTCCATAATGTATTTGCAAACCAATTTTGAATAACAAGTACAGTAGTCCTATGCAGTAATACTCTTGCAATCTTTAATCGTCTCACTTATCACCCCTAAAATGTAATTGACTGGCCCCATCCGTCATCCCTCAAAATCGAATGGACTCTTCCCACCTGTCACCCCTCAAAATCAAAATGAACTCTCCCCACCTGTCACCCCTTGAAATTGAATGGACTCGACCCACCTGTCACCCCTCAAGACGTAATGGACTCTTCCCACCTGTCCCCCCTCAAAATCAAAATGGACTCGCCCCACCTGT